AGCTGCCTGGGGCTCCAGCAGCCTCAGCCTCTCTCAGCCTCAGTTCCTGCTGGTTTTACAGCCAGAAGTCATGGGATTTCTCTTCCTGGCCCTGGAACCCTGAACTGGGCGTCTGGTGTGGGACCAGGACCCCTCAGTCCTCAGGGAGGACCTTCCCAGTCGAGGTGTCCCCCTCATTTTTATCTGCCACACATGGGTGTTGGACCAGCCCGTCTTGGCCTCCGCCCTCCTACCAGTCTTAATGGGGCTGCTGCTTTAATTCCGTAGGACTTCCATTCAGCTCGATGTCAGGCGGTTCTGAATGGTGGTTGTTTGTAGTTTAGTTGTCATTTTGATGTGGTTGTGGGAAGAGAAGAGACCACATTTACCTGCCTGCCATCCTGACCGGAAGTCTGTTTGTCCATTTCTAACGAGCTGGTCAGATGGGCCTGCAGGGGTGTGTGGAAATGGATATTAAACCACCGTGAATCTCACTTAGAAGCTGGCTGTCTTGACTGTTCATTGCTCACAATTTTATATCTTTTATTGGTTGTTACCAGACGCTCAGGAACTCTTCCCGAACATACGAAACAATTCATCCATTTAATCTCGTGCAACCACTGGTCTCACTGAAGGCTGACCCCCTGTCCCCAGGTAGCTACTGCCTTCCCTGGTCGCTCCAATCCCTGCAGACCTCCTGACCCCACAGGCAGGCATGGGGACCAGGGGGTCTTTCGGCAAAAGAAGAGCCCCTCCTTAGAAACAGGGATTCCTCTAGGAGATTTCACGGCCCCCCGGGCAGCTGCGAAGAACTGAGACACATTCATGCTGCCTCAAGGCCAAAGGGGCTATTGTGAGTGTCAAACAGATGGTCAGTGTGGGCAGAATCTTATTAAATTCCTCTGCAAGGAGCCAGTGAACCTGCAGTGTGTGTGGAAGGGAGTGTTATGGTGGAACAAAGTGACACGTGGGCAGGATTTAGGGGACCAGCCTGATGAGTGCTCAGGCGCCAGGGGACAGCACACTGCGTCCCTGGGAGAGTCACCCACACAGGGTGAGAAGGGACGAGTTTCCAAACCCCAAAGGGTTGCCCTTCTGAAGGCCACACTGTGGTCACAGGCTTCCTGTGCTAGTCATTTCCACTGAACTCATAAGCCTCTCCCAGGGAAGCAGTGCTCTGTGTGTGCAGTGTCAGCATTGTGTGTGCTGTGTGTGCAGTGTTGCAGTGTCAGCATTGTGTGTGCTGTGTGTGCAGTGTCCACAGTGCGTGCATTGTCTATAGTGTGTGCAATGTCTGTGCGCTGTGTCCATAGTGTGCAGTGTGCACAATGTGTGCAGTGTCAGCATTGTGCGCTGTGTGTGCAGTGTCAGCATTGTGTGTGCTGTGTGTGCAGTGTCCACAGTGTGTGCATTGTGTCTATAGTGTGTGCAATGTCTGTGCACTGTGTGTGCAGTGTGTCCATAGTGTGCACAATGTGTGCAGTGTCAGCATTGTGTGCGCTGTGTGTGCAGTGTCCACAGTGTGTGCATTGTGTCTATAGTGTGTGCAATGTCTGTGCACTGTGTGCACTGTGTGTGCAGTGTGTCCATAGTGTGCACAATGTGTGCAGTGTCAGCATTGTGTGTGCTGTGTGTGCAGTGTGTGCATTGTGTCTATAGTGTGTGCAGTGTGCACTGTGTGCATTGTGTCTATAGTGTGTGCAATGTCTGTGCACTGTGTGCATTGTGTGCACAGTGTGTGCAGTGTGTCCATAGTGTGCAGTGTGTGCAGCACGGGCGAGGCAGAGATGATTATGGGTGCTCTGCTTCTACACTCCCCTCTGTCTTTGAGACCACACTCCTGTGGAAGAAAGGAAACAAGAGGCAGTAGGAAGATGTTCATTGAAAAGCCAGTCTTGCCCTGGCCTGTTTGGCTTAGCGGTTTGAGCACAGGCCCTGCGGACTGAAAGGTCACAGGTTTCAATTCTGGTCAAGGGCACCTGCCTGGGTTGCAAGTTTGATCCCTGGTCCTGGTCAGGGTCGTGTGGGAGGCAACCAATCCATGTGTCTCTCACATTGATGTTTCTCTCTCCCTCCCTGCCTTCTGCTCTCTTTAAAAAAATCAATGGAGGCCCTGGCCGGTTTGGCTCAGCGGTTAGAGCGTCGGCCTGCGGTCCGGAGAGACCCGGGTTTGGTTCCCGCTAAGGGCATGTGGCGAGTGGTGACCACTCGAGGTGTCTCTCTCACATCGATATTTCTCCCTCTCTCCCTCCCATGCTGTCTGAAGATAAATGCAAAAATGTCCTCGGGTGAGGATAAAAAAAAAAATCAGCCCGGGTTCGGTTCCCGCTAAGGGCGTGTACCTCAGTTGCAGTTTGTCTCCAGCCATGCAGTTGGCAACCACTTGATGTGTCCCTTTCACATCAATGTTTCCCTGTCTCTCTCTCTTCCTCTCTCTCCCTCCCACTCTGTCTGAACAAAAAATGGAAAAATGTCCTCGTGTGAGGATAAAAAAAAAATCAATGGAAAAATATCCTCTGGTGAGGATAACAATAAATAATTAAATAAATAAATGATCTATACTAAAAAAAAAAAAAAAGCCACAGTCTTGGGTGACAAAGATGAAGGGATTAAGAGATATAAATCAGCAGTTATGCTCTGGCTGGGAGTCTCAGTGATTGGAGTGTTGTCCATATATCAGAAGGTTGCACGTTTGATTCTCAGTCAGGGTGCATACCTAAGTTGCAGGTTCGATCCCCAGTTGGGGCATGTATAAGGGGGGCTACCGATTAATGTTTCTTTCTCTCTCCCTTCCTCTCGCTTTAAAATCAATAAAGGAAAAGCATTTCCTCAGGATGTGAGGGCGCTCTGGCTGGCTAGGTGGGTGCCCCCTCCTCCCTCACCGATCCGAGTGCGTCCCTCCTGAAGCTGCGTACTTGTTTGGAGAGGACCAGTCTTCGGTCAACGGTATACGAGTAGCTGCGCTCCCCCACTAGAACCTCCAAACAAACTCTCAAAAAGCATCCTCAGATGATGACTTAAAAACCTTGGCAGTTACAAAATAGTCATGGATGTAAAGTACAGCACAGGGAATACAGTCAAGAACATTTTGCTAAGTATGTATGGTGCCAGGTGGGTACCACAACTATCAGGGGCACGGACCACTTTGAAAAGTACATGACTGTCTAACCACTATGCTGTACGCCTGAAGCAAATACAGAATCATACTGACTGTAAACTGTAACTTAAAAATAGATTTTTAAGTTTTTTTTTTTTTTTTTATCCTTACCCGAGGATATTTTTCCATTTTTTGTACAGATAGAATGGGAGGGAGAGAGAGGAAGGGAGAGAGAGTGAGAAACATTGATGTGAAAGGACACATCGAGTGGCTGCCACCCACACGACCAACCAGGGCCGGGGACAAACTGCAACCGAGGTACGTGCCCTTAGCGGGAACCGAACCCGGGTCTCTCCGGACCGCAGGCCGACGCTCTAACCGCTGAGCCAAACTGGCCAGGGCTTAAGTTTTTTTTTTAAAACCCCAGTCTTGAATTGGAGCTGGACATCCAGTGCAAAGCACGGGGACCCTGCCTGGGTGTGTGTAGCCCCAGCTCTGCGATGAGAGGACTCAGAGGGTGCGTGGGGCAGCCGCAGACCGTGGTCCCGCCAATGGGACCCTGGGCCTCTAGAGGACTTGGCCGGTTCCGGGCCGGGGCCAGACCGTGGACAAGACAAGCCGGAAGCACCCTGTCGTACCAGGCAGCAGGATGCCACCAAGGCCGGGCACCAGTTCTAGAATAAAAGCTGACAGGCGGTCTGGCGAAGTGACTGGGCACAATGTGCTTTTAAAAATGCTTTTTGTCCTGGCCGGTTTGGCTCAGCGGTTGGAGTGTCGGCCCGCAGACTGAAGAGTCTCGGGTGCAATCCCAGTCAAGGGCATGTACTTCGGTTGTGGTTCCATCCCTGGCCCTGGTTGGGGTCGTGTGGGAGGCACCAATCAGTGTGTCTCTCTCACGCTGATGTTTCTCTCTCTTTCTTTCCCCCTCACATTCTATCTGAAGATAAATGGAAAAATATCTTCAGGTGAGGAAATAAGACAACTACTAAAAATGTTTTTCTGCTCTAGTGATAGCACTGGAACTTGGATAAATATTTAATTTATAAGGGCAACAAAAAGTAGCAAATCCAAATAAAAAGGAGAGGCACAGGGCTGTGTAACCAGAGGACAATCTGGCTACAAAGAGAAAACAGGCCCTGGACACAGGCTCGGCACCTCCCACGGGAAGGCAACACTGTAATCAAGTTCCATCGCTCCAGCTCCTACCAACATCCCCTCTTTCCCTTCCTGGGCCAAACCCTCAGGGTCTCTGGCGTCCACAGTGGTGCCGCTCTGTCCCGACCTGGCCCCCTCCACTGGACATGCTTTGCTGGACATGTCTTGGTTCTTCCAGGCGGCTTCCCCACCAGCCCGTTTGGAAGGACGCGGAGGGGCCTGCTGCCGTGCGGGCAGGGACAGGGGGGCCTGCTGGACGATGTGCCCTGGGCCATGAGCCTCTTCCCCAGTGTGTGGCCTCAGGCGCGGCATGTGACCTTCCTGTGCCCAGTAGGTACCAGTCCCAGCGACCCCCTGAGACCCCATGGGGCAGAGCAGCTAGGGGGTGCTTTGTGACTACGGGACAAGTCCCTGGACACATTGTCCCTGGACAAAGCCTCTGTGCATTCGCTCAGAGGTCCTGAGAGGGTGTCAGTCAACACCAGCGGCAGCGAGGGCTAGCCCTTCACCCTGGGCATTCTCTTCCAGCCTATTTCTTCCCTAATCTGGTCACGGTGTCTCCTTGGGGTGTCCCAGCCCAGGGACCATTGCCTGAACCCCACCTGCTGAGTTCCTGGCACCCAGGCAGGCCTTCCGAATGTTCCTTTCTGTGGACCTGCCCTTTTGAGCGGTGGGGGTGTGGCAGGGGGCAGAGGGGAGTGGTTTGATGATCCACCCACCCAGGGCTGGACAGGCGGGCACACAGCAGAGGTTCAGTAGGAGCTGTTACATGGATGATGCTGAGTTGAGGTGGGTGGGTGGGTGGCACTGCCCCCCCCATGCCCCTGACGGGGGCGGGCCTCACTGTTCCCCTGACCACAGGTGTTTCTGGACCCTCCTCGTCCTGACCCTGATGGTGCTCCTGCTGGCCGGCCTCCTGCGCGTGGAGAGGCACACACTGTGAGTGTTGCACTGGGTGCTCCATGATCTGGCCCTGCTCCTGCCCACACCAACAGAGCTCCCTTCTGCCTACCCCAAGCACTGGACAGTGCCGGTGGTGGGTCACACCTCCTGGCTGGGGCGGGCCCTTCCTTTTGGAAACCCATTAGCTTCCTGAGGCCCTCCCAGAGTCCTGTGAGCGGTGAGGAAGGCTCTGGAAAGGCGGGGCTGGGCCTGGGCTGGGGATGTCTTGGGGAGAGCTGCTGTGTGCAGGGGGACCAGGTGCTGGGAGGCAAGGCGGGGGCCCATGGAGGGTCCAGGACCGTCAGGACCAATGCTCCCTGCCTGCCAGTGGTATGTCCTCCGTGAAGCCCAGGGTCCTGTGGAGCCCACACAGGCCCAGCACGTCAGCCGGGCTGCTGGGAGGGTTTTGTGGCCCAAGGCTGCCTCCCCGTCCCTACCCCCACCCCTCTGGTTGACTCTCCAAGGGACACGGGGGAGTGCCAAGCCTCCTGGGTCTGTCTGCCCCCCACCTCCTCCTGTCCCCAGGGCTGGTGTAGGTCTCCGGACCCCATCACCCCCGTCCTGGGTCACCCTTACTGGCCCTGCTGCTCTAGCCCGGCGTCCACAGCGGTGGGCACCAGCCTCCACTCTGGCCCTGCAGTCAGGTCAGCCCTGATATGAAGGGTCAGCCAAGAAATGCCAGACATGTGGCCCAGGCTGCGGCCAGAGCCATTGCTAGGTGGCCTGGGAGCTAGACAAGAGGTCGCAGGGCCGAGAGGGAGGCCAGGGCCCAGGGCCAGCCTGCAGGGGTACTGGGCAGATGGCACAGCCACTTAGGGAGAGTCAGGCTTGTCAGTGGGTCCTCGGGGGCTGCAGGGTTGGGGGGTCCACAGGTTGGGGACACCACAGTGATGGGCTAGGGCTGGGGGCACAGGGTTGGTGTGTCACCACTATGGGGAGTGTGATTTGAGGGATTGCTGGGTTGGGGGTCATGCAGTTGGGAGCAGGTTGGGGGATCACTGGGTTCAGGGTCATGCAGGTGGAAGGTTTGCTGGGTTGGTGGTCTCTCTGAGTGGGGGTTCTGTTTGGGGGTGTGGGGTGTCCCTCGCTGATGGTGGCATGCTCTCCTCCCAGCCTGCTCGGGGGCCAGGCTGAGGGGCCGCCCATCACCAACATCATGTTCCTCAAGACGCACAAGACCGCCAGCAGCACCGTGCTCAACATCCTCTTCCGCTTCGCCGAGAAGCACAACCTGTCGCTGGCGCTGCCCGCAGGCTCGCGCCTCCACCTGGGCTACCCCTGGTTCTTCCTGGCGCGCTACGTGGAGGGCGTAGGGCAGGCCGGCCCACCGCGGCACTTCAACATCATGTGCAACCACCTGAGGTTTAACCCGCCGGAGGTGCGCTGGGGGGCGTCTGCAGGGGGAGATGGGCCGATGAGGGGCAGGACTCAGCCCCAGGCCTCGGACATACTCAGTGGCTTTGAGGAGTGACCACGGTGGGAGGGGTCACAGCCTGCCCACTGGAGAGACCACGGCTGTGGGGGTGTGTACAGGGACCTGGCTGGAGAGGGCGGGTAGAGATCCCTGGGGAGACCCTGCCACCCCGCACCCCCACTTCTGATGGCCTGCAATTGCTCTTGTCATCTGATATGGTGACCCCACAGGCTGCTACCCTCTCTTTCTTCTCCAGCTTTCTCTTGGTTCCCAAACCGCCCAGTCTTCCCCCCAGGACCTTTGTACATGTCCCTCCAGCACGATGCTCTTCACACCTCCTGTGGGTCATTTCAGTCTCAGCTTAGAGGTCACCTCCTCCTGGGGGGCTTCCCCGACTTCCCTTCTAGGAGGGAGAGGGAAGTGGAGGGAGTTTGGGGGGAGGGCCTGGCCAGGTTCAGGTGTTTCAGGGTCATTCTGGCACTCCTGGGAAGTGGCGGTCAGGGAAGCAAAGCAGCGTGGACGGGACGCAGGGAAGCCAGTGGGAGAGGCGGTAGGAAGGTTCAGGTGTGCAGTGGGCAGGGTGCTGGGGTGGAGGGGGGGGGCATCTCCCTCCTGAGCCTCTGGAAGAAGCCAGGAGCATCACCAACCCTCCTCTGTCTCCACTCAGGTGCAGAAAGTGATGCCCAACGACACTTTCTACTTCTCCATCCTCAGAAACCCCGTCTTCCAGCTGGAGTCCTCCTTCGCCTACTACAGACACCTCACGCCTGCCTTCAGCGCCGCGCCCAGCCTGGCCGCCTTCCTGGCCGCCCCGCACACCTACTACAACCAGAGCCTGCTGCGCAACGCCCACGCCAGGAACCACATGTGGTTCGACCTGGGCCTGGACCCCAACGCTCCGGTGGAGGAGAGCTACGTCCGCGCGCACCTGGCCCACGTGGAGCAGCGCTTCCCGCTGGTGCTCATCGCGGAGCACTTCGACGAGTCCATGGTGCTGCTGCGGCGCCGGCTGCGCTGGCAGCTGGACGACGTCGTCTCCTTCAAGCTCAACTCGCGCAGCCGGCGCAGCGTCACCAGCCTGCCGCCCGAGGCCCAGGAGCGCGCCAAGCGCTGGTGCGCGCTGGACTGGCGCCTCTACCAGCACTTCAACCGCACCTTCTGGGCCGCGCTGCGCGCCGAGCTGGGCCCGCGGCGCCTGCGCTCCGAGGTGGCGCAGCTGCAGGAGCGGCGGCGCGTGCTCTCCGCCCTGTGCCTGCAGGACGACGCGCCCAAGAACAAGACGCAGATCACCGACGCCCGGCTGCGACCCTTCCAGTCCGGGGAGGCCGACATCCTGGGCTACAACCTCAGGGAGGGCTTGGATAATGAGACGCTGCGCCTCTGTCAGAAGATGGTCATGCCTGAGCTCCAGTACATGGCCCACTTGTACACCCTGCAGTTCCCCCAGAAGCGCCCCAAGAACATCCCCTTCCTGAAGGCATAGCCCCTCAGTTTGACCAGCCCCTCTGCTGTCATCCTGGGAGGCCCTCGGCGTGGTCTCAGGCTCTGCTCCTGGGGCATCGGGAGACCCAGCCCTGCTGGACCCTGGGTCTTCTGGGTGAGACCCTGTGAAGAGACGCACCCGTGATTCACCCTCTTGGTGAGGGCCCCATGTCTAGGACAACGTGTACACGTGACGTGTGAGGACGTGAACCCATTCAGCAAATAGGAAAACGAGGGATATTTAACATGCCAACGTGATGCCCACCAGAGAGAACACATGTGGACGCATCGGCCATCAGACAAGCCCTGAGGATGTGGAGGGGCCTGGGCAGCGTGGCCGTGGGCTCCTGATGGAGAATGGCTCCCCTACATCCTTCGGCCACGAGGATACAGGCTGGTCACTGAGCACTGGCACCCTGGGCGCTGGGGCGCGTGGTGAGGGCATGGACCCAGGTCCCCACCTTTGGTGTCAGGAGGCTCCTTTTCCACCAAACAATGGTTTTAGGTTGCGAAGTGTTCCAGTTGCTTACAAGACAAATGGTGGAAGGTCAGTGCTGCACCCCCACCCTCACCCCACCCCCTGTCCAGTGAAGGAAAACACCTGCAGGAGGAGCTCACCCTTGGTTGCCATGGAGACCAGTGGGATGCAGTCCCAGAAGAGGCCGGCCTGCAAGCACCTTTGTTGGCGGTTAGTGGGGAGGGACTGAGGATGCCCTGCCTGGCAGGATGTGATCCCAGCTGTTTGGGGGCCGGTGGTTAGAGTGGGTGCACACACTCAGCATCATATGCCCTGTGCGCTTCAAAAAGCGGGGTGCCTGGAGCAGTGGAGAAATAGCTGCTCTCACACACTCAGCCTGGCCTGCCTGCCAGGTGCTGGGGTCCCCTTCCTTTACCAGGGCCCTCAGCTCAGAAGACCCTGGCGGACTCCTGTGAGTAGGTGTGTTCACACTTCCCATGGAATATGAGCATTTCACAGAGGAGACCCCCAAACAATCAGAACAGGCAGCATCTCCCTTGGAGGGAACTTTACCATGTGAACTTTAAGCCCTGGCCAGCGTGGCTCGCTCGGTTGAGCACTGTTCCATTCACTGAAAGGTCGCTGGTTCGATTCTGGCACATGCCCAGTTTTTGGGTTGTTTGATGTTTTGCTCTCATATCGGTGTTTCTCTCTTTCTCCTTTCCTCTCTCTGTAAAAATAAATAAAAACAGGGGCCCGGCTCCAGAGAGCAATTGCCACTCCTGAGCCCTTGTCTGGCTCAGCGCTCGGCCGCCCGGTGCCGCGGCGCCCCCTGCGCGCCCAGCTCCCTGTCCATGCCCGGGGTGTGCACAGCCCGGAGCACGCGCCTCTCATGGGGACTCTGCTCGCCCCGCGACCTCGGGAGGAGGCGCAGGGAGCCAGTAGGAGCGAGCAAGCGAGCCGGGGGCGGGGGCGGTATCTTAGACCGAGGCTGTGGAGCCGGGCAGGCGGCCCCTTCACTCTTTCCAGACGGCGGGAACCCTCCGCAGCCCACCTGCTTCAGTCCCGGCCTAGCTTTGGGAGAGTGGGGTTGATCCCTAAAGTGACCCCTGCCCGGAGAGTAAGGAGAAACAAGACTCTTCTTTCTCCCACCTGGTGGGTGGTGGGGATACTGAGGCAACAGTAGGCAGGAAGGAGGGCTGGGGAGGAAGGACCCAAGTGACAGACAGACATCTAGAGATTTGCTGTTTCTCAAAAGCCCTCCAAGTCTCTGGCCTTCCAGGTGACTTTCCTCAGGTGCAAAGGGAGGGGCTGGGTACGCTGAGTATTCCTGGAGTGTGCCCATCGCAGGCTTGGGAGGGACAGGCTGCAGTCCTGCGGCACCACTCACCTGGGGCAGGTCGGCGAGTTGTTTAATTGTCCTGCGCATCCGTGTCCTTTTCTGGAACGTGGGGTGAGGATTAGGTGTACTTCCCGTTCCAGGCAAAGCACACATTAGGCATCCAAGCCGAGGACACTGTTGTGCGCAAGTGAAGTGTGACAGTTCGGCCTGACAAGGTGCTGGGCTGGTGCGCAAAGCTTCCCTCCAAGTGGAGCGTCAGTTCTGTCCCAGGAGCGGCGTGAAGTCCTGTCAATGTGCCTGCAGAAGCCTCGAGGTGGGGGTCTGGGTCTGAGGTCTGGAGACGCTGTGTGCCGACACCAAGCACATTCCTGGCCCAGCAGAGTGGTGTCGGGGGCTGAATGTGAAGGCGCCCAGGAGGGCAGGAGGGTAGAGACCTTCCCTCCCCTCTGCCACCTCCCAGCCCCGGAAATGGGAACCTTCCTCACCAGAGGGAGATGAAACCTCCCCTGCTGGCCTCACGTCCAGGAAATGGGCAGAGATGGGGTTGAGCTTCAGAAATTGACCTGTTCACTGACCTCCAGGTGGAAAAAGGGGTGCTGTGAAAGAGAACAGACGGAAGTTTAAGCGAAGAAGAGAGATTTGTTAAAAACAAGAAAATTAAAAAAACACCTATTGCAATAGGGGAAGAAAGACTCGGAAGAACTGGGCTGATTCCCACACAACCAGTAACAAGTGGGGATTCACAGCTGAAGAGCAAGGGGGCACTGGTGGGTGGAAATGACTAAGAGAAGTCACCCGATCTGGGGGTGTCTGGCTGAAGTCCGGCCAGGGTGGTCAGAGATCTGTCAGGAGTGGGGAATTCTCATCAAACTGACTTAGATCCTACAGGAAGTCCAGGCATGGACCTTGTTGGGGAGAGGGTTCGGGGAGCCAGACTCAAGTCTGATCAAGCAAAGCATCTTTGCCAGTCCCCTCGCTTGTTCGAGGGAAGAAGCAGCTTCCTTTTTCTCTGAACGACCTAAGTCCGTTTCTCACTTGGGTGCCTTTATTCCTTCAGAATCAGCTGAACCATCGGTTGAGACTTGGTGACGGTGGATGAGTGCTGTACCATACGACCCTCAAAACGTTTGATGAGAGGGATACTGTGAAGAGCAATGGAAAGACAAAGATTAAAGGCTAAATCTGCCTGTGTACCCGACTTTGTGGACCTTCGAGGACAGACAGGAAGAAGCCCACGGCCTGCTGTCCGTCGGTGGTGTGGGTGCAGTGTCAGTGACGCACACACTTCTCCCGTCATCTCTGGGACTGTCCTGGGTACAGCAGACACCAGGTGGACTGCAGGGGACGAAGGTGCAGCAGCTCCGATCGCTGTGCAAGTTCCCCCTTCTGCAGCCAGGTGTCACCGGAGGGGCGATGCCTTTGGGGCCAGTGGTCCTCCCTCCTCTGTGATTTCAGTTTCCATGGCTTCAGTCACCCAAGGTCAACCGTGGTCTGAAAATTTTAAATGGAAATCTCAGAAATAAACAGTGCATACGTTTAAAAAAAGATCAATAAAAACATGTTTTGAAAAAGATACGGATTGCCCTGGCCGGTTCGGCTCAGCGGTTAGAGCATCGGCCTGCAGACCGGGAAGTCCCGGCTTTGGTTCCCGCTAAGGGCACGTACCACTCGATGTGTCTCTCATGTCAATGTTTCTCTCTCTCTTCCCCCCTCTCTCCCTCCTGCTCTATCTGAAGATAAATGCAGAAAAAAAAATGTCCTCGGGTGAGGATAAAAGAAGAAAAAGATACGGACTCCGAGGACGTGGCTCCTTGATGAGACCCAGACACTTCTGAACGGCGATGTGATGCCGGAAATCTCTGCACTTGCCGCGTCCCTGGAAGAGGAGAAGCTCTCTTCTGAGCAGACTGTACGTACGGAAGGGGAGCCACAGGGCAGGGCTTCTCGGGCAGGTCCAGCAGTCCAGAGGCCCCATCCCTGTGATCACTGTGTCTCAGTCCTGAAAGGTACTTTGCACCTGACTGAGTTCCACCAACACGTCAGCAGGAGCCTCCTTCAGGGACACGGGTGAGAGGCTTCTGTTTCGAGGGCGCAGTGGAGAGAAGCCCTGGGCAGCAGACGTGGACAGGGCCTCGTTTGTCACCAGGGGCAGCTTCTATGTGCCAGGGGCGCGATCCGTCGGCAGAAAGGTTGGGGAGGACGTCTCAGCTGAGGAGCCACCGCGGCAGTGTGAGGGGGTGGGCTTTTCACGGTGGAAAAGTCACCCCCAGTCGGGAGATTGGGGAACAGCTGCCAGCCTCGGCCAGAGGCTTCTTCAGCGTCTGCGTGTCTGCTCTGGAGAAGTCTCTCCAGCGGCGAATGGAGGGAAGCCCTGCGACACAACTTCGCGGGCGACGTGGGCGAGTTCACGCCGCAGAAAAGCCCAGCGAATGGAGTGATTGTGGGGAGTCCTTTGGGCAAAGCTCTGGCCTCATTCCACACCAGAGAATTCACACTGGAGAAAAGACTTCTTTAGTGAGATTAGAGGACACAGTGCAGCGAATTTGAAAATCAAGGACGATATTTGGAACCTGAAAAAGTGACTTCGAAAAAACTGAGTGGAGTTGGTGAAAAAGAGGACGCTGCAGAGAGCCAGGGTGCGCTGGGGACCCTCTGCCGACCGCGGGCCCTCAACCAGGGACGAGGCAGAGTGGGACCGCTCGGGAATGCAGAAAAGGGGAACCAGATGCCAGATGAGCCGGCGCGTGGATGAGAAGTGGCCCCCAAGGACAGAAACTCCAATCAGATGAGAAAGACCCAGATCACATTCAGTGCCCTGAGCATCAGGCAGGCTCCACCAATGCCCAAAGTAAGCAAGACCACACCTGGGCACACCTGGGTCAGGGCGAACCCAGGAGGAGGACGGAACCCTGCTGCTTCTGAACGCAGAGCAGTTCATGCCGGGGGGTGGGGGAGAGGCCCGGACCTCTGCCAGCAGCTGTCACCACAGACGGGCCCATACTCAGGGGCACGGAATCAAGACCTCGGAGTCACGTAGAAATTCCATGGCGTTTGCTCGTGCCTTTGGGGTCGGCAGGACTATGAACTGGCACTGTTTTTGGAGGGACACTTTGGGGTATTTGTTACCATATACAGTGTATGTGGTTTGTAATAACTCAGAAATGACCAGTCCACCCACCCAAAAGGCTGAACAGCCAGTGAAAGCTGGGAGCAGAGCCTCCTTCCGGGGCAGGTGAGGCTGTGTGACCAGAGGGTGTGTGCTTGCCTCAGGGGAGTGGGGGAGCCCAGGAGGCAGACCTGATTTTTTCAGAGAAACTGGAAATACGGGTCTTTATGTGAAACCTTCATATTTAAAAAAGGTGGCTTCCCTGGCCGGTGTGGCTCAGTGGATGGAGCATCCTCCCAGGGACTGAGAGGTCCTGGGCTGATCCCCGTCAGGGCACAGGCCCGGGTTACAGGCTCGATCCCCAGCAGGGGCAGCAGGAGGAGGCCGATGGATGTTTCTCTCTCACACAGATGTTTCTATGTCTCTCTCCCTTCCTCTCTGTCTAAAAAATCAAAAAAATTTTTTTAATCCTCACCTGAGGATATTTTTACATTTATCTTCAGACAGAGTGGGAGGGAGAGAGAGAAACATCAACGTGAGAGAGACACATCGATTGATTGCCACCTGCACAGTCCCAACTGGGGCTGGGAACGAACTGCAACCGAGGTGCGTGCCCTTGGCTGGAATCGAACCCAGGACTCGTTGGTCGCAGACAGATGCTCTAACCGCTGAGCCAAATCGGCCAGGGCAAAACATATTTTTAAAAAAGGAAATAAGTAACAAAAATTAAAAACCTGACTCCAACTGAAACATTGAAACCCTGGTCAGATGGTCCTGCCTGGATTTGGGGGCTTGGAGGCCCCATTTTTCCTAGGCCCCCTCAGATGCACCGGGCCTGGTCTTGGGGGACGGGGGAAGAGATGGGCCCTCCCCTCCTGGTTTGGGCGGGGCTCTGAGGGCAGGTCGTGTTCACTGTTCACCTCTCCTTCCCATCAAACTCCTTGGCTGTTGTCTGGGCACCGGCTGGCGGCCAGGATGGCCCGGGGCTCAGGGAACGGGGGATGGTGTGTACCGGTCCTGGCCACCCTCGAAGAAGGGCGGCAGTTTTCCTGGGACTTGCTGGTGCCGGCGGTCAGTGGCTGCGGGCCATCAGGTCAGATGGCGGCCCCTCTGCTCTGCTCCACCTTTGGCCTTGTAAATGCCCTCAGGCCTCGAGGACCTGAAGGGACACGGCAGGCTTGTCATCTCTGTGGACATCATATGACGTCTTACTTTCCCAGAGCCCGTTTCTCGCTTTGAAGTCCCTCCTGTTGGAGGCAGAAGCAGGAAAGGGAGGGGGTGGGGCCCGGGGTGTCCCTGAGGGGCTGGCCCCTCCCAGAGCACCTGTCACCTCCCTTGAGGCCCTGGCTCTGGAAGTTATCACCGGGGCAGTGGTCACCCAGGCAGTGGTCACTAGGGTGGCAGTCGCCTAGGCAGCGGTCACTGGATGGTGGTCACCTGGACAGTGGTCACCCACCAAGCCACCTTGGAGACAGCAGTGGGGGAGCGGGTGGAGGCGGCTGGCTGGCAGGAGGAGCCCTGGGAGGCCGCTGGTGCGGGGGGAGGGGGGAGACGCTGGCCTGCCTGGTCGGAGCCCGGTCCTGAGCACAGACACGGGCCACATCCTGGGGGCCAAGGGAAGGGTCACAGAGCATCATGTAGTTTGAGGCATCTTCGCAGGAGGCCTGGGGGCGGCTGTGGCCCCCTTCCCCGAGGCCCCCAGCACCTCAGGGTGGAGTAGGTCAGCCAGAAAAAAGGGGCCTGTGTGGCCCATCCTGACAGTGGCCTCCACCCGGGGTTCCCTTCTGCACCCTGACTGTTCTGCTGAACCGCAGCTGGCAGGAGGGTCCTGGGTCCTGACGCAGCCCTGGGACAAGGCCAGCTCCCGCCTCCTGCCCACACAGTGGGCCTTGTCCCCGCTCAGCTCCCTGGGTCCTGAGGCAGGCAGTCCCGTGGCCGCCCCGCAGCGCTCTGCAGCTTCCCTGCGGTGCCCGGTGAGTCCCTTCCCTGTTCCCCTGCTGCCCAGGGCCAGGATCCGGCTCTTTCTGTCCCCCTGGCTTCCCCACTTTGGGCTGAAGAGTGGGTGTATGGATCCCCGATGGGACAGCTCCCTGACTTGAGGGGTAGGTGTCACACGGAAGGGCCTGGAGGGAGATTCAGAGGATGGGTGGAGCAGACGGCCTCCAGGCCAGAGCCACACCCCAGGCGCAGGGTCAGGTGGGCCTGTGGGTGACGCTGCACCTGGCAGAAGGGTGGTAATTGAGTCCTTGTCTGCACAGAGCACAGGGCATGCAGGGGAGATTGGAGCCCCAGCCTGGGGTGGGGTGGAGAGGGGTGGGGGGTGACAGAGCCGGGGTCCCTCTGCCTGATTTCTACAAAGTGCCTTTGCTCGTCATATGAGGCACTTCAGCAGGCTGAGCTGGGCCAGGAGTAACAGGTCCCAAGGACAAAGAGGTAGGGACTGCGGAGGGAGGATGTGGGCCGCCGGCCTGGGCTGGTGCCAGGGCTCCAGAGCAGAGCCCCGAAGCCAGGCTGCGGGCAGGTCTGAGGCAGGACGAGCCTCAACAGCCTGCCCGGGGCTCAGGGTCAGCGGACCAGGTTCTCTTGAAGGTCCCATGACCTCCCTGGGCCTCCGTTTCCCCTCTGCCATGTGCTGCCCCCGAGAAAGACCTCTCTGGGGGCACCCAGACTTCAATATTCTAGCTCCAGTTAATGTTCAGATGTAGCCTCTGGTCAAGTCAAAGCCCCAGAACCTGCCGAGCTGGCACACTGGGCAGGGCTGGCTGCCTGGGAGGCCGGTTCCTCCGCACGCAGTGGGGGCCTCCCCAGAACTTGGAGGCTCTGGTCCGGGCAAGGACGATCCGAGTGCCCGGCAGCCCTGTTTGCCCTGCGCAGAAATGCCAGCTGGTCCTGGGATCCGCCCTCTCTGCCGCTATGTCCCCAGGCCAGGGGTGGGCCTGGGGCCCCTAGTTCTGCTGACACCATCTCGGGTGGTCTCAGGCCTTGGGGAGTGAGCCGGGGCTCGCTGGAGAGAATGCCCCGCTGTGTCCATTCAGTCGAGGGACTCGTGCCCACACCTGCTTCCTGCTCAGCACAGCTGCTCTCTGGGTGCAGACTGGCTGCAGCCCCGGCTCCCAGGACACGGGCAGCGCTCAGGCCCTCGCCGCTCCGTGGGACGGGCAGGTGGCTCCGGGAGCAGGTGGTCTTGGACAGAGCTGGCCCGAGGCTGAGGCAGCTGTCTGTGTGGGGACCCCAGGTGTGGAGGTGTACCCTGCTAGGTGCCGGAGGGAGGCCCTCTGGTCAGGACCCTGTCTTCCCACAGTGCTCATTCCTGTCCCCCTGCTCTCCGCCCGACGGTCAACTCAGACGCACTGTGCTGTGCGCAGGGCCCACCCCGACATCTCACTGCCTGCCGCCTGCAGTCCACCCTCCTCTGCCAGCTCGGCCCCGTTCCCTGGGGCCGGCAGCCCACAGAGCAGACAGATGCCATCTGCACTGCCAGCCCACCCGTGTCCCAATTCACCCTCATGAGGAGGCCCACGGTCACCCCTGCAGGAGCCCAGCAAGTTTAGAGAGCTGGGGTGTACTGGGGGGGGATCTGGGCCACCTGCAGGTAGGGGGCCATGGGACACAGGCCTATGGGGAAGGGGCCTTCTAGTCCTGGCTGCACCCCCGGTGACCCTCCCACCAGGACTCCCCTCAGCCCCTGCGTCTAGCTCTCTGCTCCAGGAAGCCCACCCAGCCTCCAGCACACTGTCCTCCGGCAGGGCTCCCCCTCTGAGCCACCCCACCCGTTGTGGACTCAGCCCAGGCAGGGCCCGGGCAGGCGTGGAGGGTGCTCATCTTCCTCCTTCACTGTGTGGGGGCAGCTGCTTTCAAGTTCAATGCGCTGCACCTCAGGGCACAGACTAGAGCTGCCCCCTCTTCCCCTGTGGCTCCTCTCTGCTGGGATGGGGCAGGGGCAGGGCCATATGGTGGTGCCTCCTCCTTGGGGTCACTCCACCGCCTTGCTGGCCGACACCATTCCTAGGTCTCTGGGCACACGTGGGAGCTATTGGGGCACCGGTGGCTCTGCTGGCGCTCCCCAGGACCCCCTGCTCTGTTCAGGAGACCAAGGGGCAGAGTGGTGGGTCCCCTGCCCCTGAAGCTGTCCCTCTGGGGCCTGGGGTTTAGGGCCTTCTCCGCAGACCTGCTGGGGCCACCTTGGCTTCAGCAGGCGACCCCCCCCTCTCCTGGCTACTCCCCAGAACCCCGACCCTGGTGACCCCTCAGGAGAGGGGTGTGGCAGCAGTCAGGGTGCCTTCCTCCTGTGTGAGGCCTGTAAGTGTGCGTCTGCGAACGTCTCTTTCCTCAGGCTCAGTTTTTCTCTGTATCTCGTGTGTCTTTCGTGCCTCTGTGTTTGTGTGGCTGGCTCCTGGGGTCGTGGGGCCCTGTCTGGGGACACTGGAGCCTCCTGGCCCAAAACGCTGGGTCCTGACTGTGCCCTTGGGCGGCCTCCTTCTGGGCCGGTCGCGCTGACTTGTCCCAGGCAGGCGGCTGTGGGGTCAGGGGCTCTGGCCAGGCTCCCTGCTCTTCCTCCGTGGGCCACATGGACAGGAGGCAGGGCCATTCCGGACACTCGGAAGTGCAGTGGCCGTGAAGAGGTGGACAGAGTCTGGGCCAGGGCCAGGGGGGTGGGTCGAGGGAGGCGGCTGGGCGTGGGTGGGGGCCTCTGTGCCCCCAGAGCTCCCTTCCCCACTGGACCGAGAGAGGGGGTGTGCCCGGACCCCGCGCGCTGACCCGCTGGCCCTGGCCCCGCAGAGCATGGGGGCCCCCCGAGTCCCCACGCGGACCGTGCTCTTCCGGAGCGAGCGGAGCGGCCTGACCTACCGCGTGCCCGCGCTGCTGCCGCTGAGCCCCGGGCCCGCGCTGCTGGCCTTCGCGGAGCAGCGGCTCAGCCCCGACGACGCGCACGCCCACCGCCTGGTGCAGAGGCGCGGCTCGCTGGCGGGGGGCTCGGTGCGGGTGAGTGCTCGGGGCGGGGCGGGGCGGCGGGCCGGGGGCGCACCGGAGGCTGCCCTCCCTCCACCCCCGCCCTCTCCCGGCAGTGGGGCGCCGCCCGCGTGCTGGGGACCGCGGCCCTGGAGGCGCACCGCTCCATGAACCCCTGCCCAGTGCACGACTCGCGCACCGGCACCGTCTTCCTCTTCTTCGTGGCGGTGCGCGGCCAGACCCCCGAGGTTGCACAGATCGCCTCGGGCAGGAACGCCGCGCGCCTCTGCTGCGTGACCAGCCGGGACGCCGGGCGCACCTGGGGCGGCGCGCGCGACCTGACGGCGGAGGCGGTGGGCGCAGTGGAGCGCGGTAGGCGGGGCGCGGGCTCTAACCTGGGGGCGGGGTCTGCGCGGGGGGCGTGTCTTCCCGCTGGTGGGGGCGGGTCTGACTCGGGGTGCCCCCTCACCCCCAAGGGCCATGGACACCGTTGACTGTCGGACCCCCAACCCTTGAGTCTGCAGAGGGTGTTGGTGTTGCCCCTGAGCTGTGTCTGAATCTCAGCCCCAAACCCCAAGGTCTCCCTCCTTAACCACTTCCTCCTCCTCCTCAACCACCTGTGGGTGGGGCCCCAGCCCAGGGTTGCAGGCAGGTTGACCTTAGTCAAAGCTTTTCCTCCACTCCACCTACCCCTCCGCAAGGGCCTGACCACCCACTGCCAGCAGGGGCCACCTCAACGCCGGCAAGGGGCAGGCTCTGAGACCTGGAGCTAATGAAAGAGCTGTCTGTTGTGGCCCTCCCCTGGGACTCAGTCCAGGGCCAGGAGGGCTACCCAGCCCTGAAGCTCTGCAGCCCCCGCACGCGGCCCCCTCTATCCGGACAACGCTCACACTGGACACAGTTGTTGACTGTCCACCTGTGTTTGGGGACTGGCCACCTGCTCACATGCTGAGAACCTGGCCGAGTGGCCTGCCTGGGCTCCCCACTACCGCGAGTGTCCTCAGGGGTCGTGTCCAGCTCCAGAGGACTCAGGGCAGCGGGAACGAGTGGAGGGCGAGGCCGGTCAGCCGGTGGCTCCCTCACAAAGTGCTCATTAATCTGTGCCCCCCCTCCCCACCCACTGTGGCCTGGCTGTCCCCTCCTGAGGTAACAGCAGCCCTCCCGTCTGCAGACTGGGCCACCTTTGCTGTGGGCCCCGGCCACGGCATCCAGCTGAGCTCAGGCCGCCTGCTGGTCCCGGCCTACACCTACCGTGTGGACCGGCGGGAGTGCTTCGGCAGGATCTGCAGGACCAGCCCCCACGCCTTCACCTTCTACAGCGATGACCATGGCCAGACCTGGCACCATGGTGGCCTCGTGCCCAACCTGCGCTCGGGCGAGTGCCAGCTGGCTGTGGTAGATGCAGGGCAGGCGGGCAGCGTCCTTTACTGCAATGCCCGGAGCCCCCTGGGCAGCCGTGTGCAGGCCCTCAGCACAGACAACGGCACCTCCTTCCTGCCGGGAGAGCTGGTGCCCACCCTGGCTGAGACCGCCCGGGGCTGCCAGGGCAGCATCCTGAGCTTCCCAGCCCCACCCTCTAGCAGGCCGGGCAGTGAAGGATGGGCAGTGGGCTCTAGGAAGACCCCTTTTCCTCCAAACCTCTGTCCTGGAGCCCAAGAATCCCCAGAGGAGGGCACTGGAGACACCCAAGGGGGTGAGGGGCTGTGCGGGACACAGGGACCTGGGGACGGCCCACAGGACCCTGGCCCCTGGGGGCCTAGGCCAGGGCCTGGGCTTGGTGGAGACAGGAGGGCCTGGGCCCTGTCTCAGAGCCCCACATGGCTGCTGTATTCCCACCCGGTGGGGCGCAGGGCTCGGCTCCATATGGGTGTCCATCTGAGCAGGTTCCCCCTGGACCCCTACAGCTGGACGGAGCCCTGGGTGATCTACCAGGGCCCCAGCGGCTACTCTGACCTGGCATCCCTGGGCCCCACCCCCGAGGGAGCCCTGAACTTTGCGTGTCTGTACGAGAGTGGAGCAAGGGAGTCCTATGAAGAAATCTCCTTCTGCGTGTTCTCCCTGCGCGAGGTCCTGGAGAACGTGCTTCCGGGCCCCGAGCCCACGGGCCTGGGGAGCAAACCTCAGGGGCTGTGCTGGCCCTCCTGAAGGGCCCTCCAGCCAGGCCTGGGGGCAGGGGCCTGGGGGAGCTCTGGGCACCCTCTGGAGAGGTCCCTTTGACCCTTGGCTTCTTCATGGAGAGTTGTGAGGGTGGGTCTTCATGAAAGACCCTGTGCGATGGTGCAGAAGTTCAGTTTTAATATTTTCTTTTTGTTGTCCTCACCTGCTGACATTTTTGCATTTATCTTCAGATAGAGCGGAGGGAGAGAGGGAAGCAGAGAGAGAGAGAAACATCAACGTGAGAGAGACACATCGATTGGTTGCCACCCACACGACCCCAGTCAGGGCCGGGGACAAACTGCAACCGAGATGCATGTCCTTAGCAGGAACCGAACCCAGGACTCTCCGGTCCACGGGCCAACGCTCTAACCGCTGAGCCAAACTGGCCAGGGCCAGTCTTAATACTTTCTGACAAACAAGGCTGGTCTTTGAGAGGGTGGCGTGCAGCTGCAAGCCAAGGGCAGGCGGTGGGCCGTGGGCAAGGGCGACTCGGGACCCTTAGACTAGGACACGGCGCTGCGCTGTCCTGGTGTTTGTCTCTTTAATCTTGCTCTGCTTTCTGGCTTCGAGACGGGAAATAAAGGGTTGTGCATTTATGTCCAGGGACATTTCTGTCGCATTCTTTCCCTGTCAAAGCCTCGGGAGGCCACCCAGTTCTCTAGCCCACTTCTCTGACCACCTGCTCCCAATCTCCGTGCGTCGCCTGCCCCTCCCACCCCTGGGCCAAACGCTCCAAAGCGCAGGGCATCAGAGGTGGGGCAGGATGAGGGCAGGAAAAGCAAGCGAGTGTGGCAGCTCCCAGATCTGTGTCTACATTTCCCGCGAGTGCGGCTGGCAGGCTCACCTCCCAGGACCTGCCCCTGTCCCTTCACAGACATACATTTTAATTTCTTCATTTCTGGTCATAAAAATAAAAGATGCCTATTGTAGAAAATTTTGGATAGGTAGGAAACTACAACAAAAAAGTAAAAATGCACACTGGCCGGGCTGCTCCGCTGGTTAGAGGCTGCTTCCCGTCTTCCAAGGTTGTGGGTTTGATCCCAGTCAGGGCACGTACAAGAATCAACCCACGGCCGGTAAATGAGTGGAACCACCAATCGATGTCTCTCTCTCTGTCTCTCTCTCTGTCTCTCTCAGTTTTAAAAATTAAAAATGAATAAATAGAAATGACCCCCTGCTGATCCTCCCCCTGGCCACAGCCATGCTGATCCTTTTGGTGTTTGTTTTGACATTTTTTCTTTTAAAAAGATTCAACTGTGGTTTAGAACAAGTGCTTTCCTGACTGTCACACTCTGGTCAGATATCCTCTGTGTCCCACCCTCCAGCCCAGACGTCATTTCTTCACAAGCCCCTGCTGGGTAACGAGGCCAAAGTGTGGGGGCACCCAGGAAGTCTCAGAGCCACCCCGGGAACTCAGGGCAGCCAGACCACATGGGAGCAGGGGGACCCCTCTCCACCCCCCTCATTCTCAGTCCCCTGCAAAACCTTCTGGAATCACCTCTGGGCTCCAGCCAGTGTCAGGGCAGGAGCCTGGGTCCAGCCCCTCAGAGCCCTGAGCCTGCCTGTCTCACCCAGGGACCCCACCTCAGGCCGACCAGCCCTCCCATCCTTCCCAGGGGGACAGATGTAGAGAAACTAGTCTGAAAGTACAGAATCACAGATGTGTGGGGCCCATGTCCTGCCTTCCGTTCTGGGCTGGGTACGTAATGTCCTCCACATTCATGTGCACCCAGGACCTCAGACTGTGACTCACTTGGAAATAAGTTATTTGCAGGTGTGATTAGGATAAGGGTTGAGATGAGATCACCCTGGATGAAGGTGGGTCCTTAGTCAGATGGGAGTCCTTGTAAGAGACAGAAAAGCACATTTGGGAGAAGGCTCTGAGGACTGAGGCAGAGACTTAGGGAGCACCTGGGGCCCCGGAAACTGAGAAGGCAGGAAGGACCGTCCCGTAGACAACCCTCGGCGAGCACCCTGGCCACACCTTGGTGTCGGACTGCTGGCCTCCAGACTGGGGGAGAATGACCATCTTTTGTTTAAGTGCCCGGTTTAGATGGAATTTGACTTCTCGCCAGAAACCATGGAAACTGGGAAACAATGGCGTGGTCCCTTCAAAACGTGCTGAGAAAACAGCCACCCATCCAGAATTCTATGCCTAGCAAAACTATTCAAGGATGAAGAAAAACCTGGCTGCTGTGGCTCAGTGGTTGAGCACCAACCCATGCACCAAGAGGTCACGGGTTCGATTCCTGACCGGGCGCACATGCCCGGGTGGGGGCTTGATCCCCAGTAGGGGGCATGCAGGAGGCAGCCGAGCCATGGTTCTCTCTCGTCGATGTTTCTATTGCTCGTCCTCTCTCTCTAAAAGAAGAAGAAGGAAGGAGGAAGAGCTTACTGTCGAAGTGGACGGCAGAGGCCAGCTGGAAGGTCCGTGGGACCTCAGTGCCGATGCACAGGGCTGCTGAATCTGATGAACCCGACTGTGCAGCAACAGTGATTCCTCGTGCGGTTCCGACTGTGTAGAGACGTAAACAGGGACTAAGAGCAGCACCACACGGAGGGCGTGGCAAACGGGATGGCAGAGCTCGGTGATCCTCGCGTGTCCCAGGAGAAGAGAGTGTGCCCATTCACGCTGGCCGAAGCTGGCCTCCGGAATCTCCAGGGAAAATGCTGGAAGAATAGCAAAACTGCGTAATCACAGAATTAACAGAATTGACAATGAGAAAGATAAAATAGAAAATGATCAGTTCAAACAAGGCAAGGGATGCGAGAGAGCACACACTGAAGTGGTGCAGCGGTTCTCAACCTGTGGGTCGCGACCCCTTTGGGGGTCACACGACCCTTTCACAGGGGTTGCCTAAGACAGGACAGTAGTAAAATTACAGTTATGAAGTAGCCACAAAAATAATTTTATGGTTGGGGGTCACCACAACATGAGGACCTGTATTAAAGGGTCGCGGCATCAGGAAGGTTGAGAACCACTGGGTTAGACAAAGAGAAAGGAAATAGTAAAACACAAACACATCAGAATTACATTAATGTAACCCGATGAACAGTCTAAGTAAGAGACAAAATGGTCAGAGCAGAAAACAAGCAACAATGACAAACCCTGGCCCAAACCCAGCACAGCTCCCTGACAGTAGACACGGTGTAAAGACTGGCAGCCAAGAGGAAAAATCGCCGGTGAAACGTGCAGGTGAACAGCTGGTGGCGCTGTGGCTCTGTCAGGCAAGGACCGCAGGGCGGTGGCCGGGCGAGCGATGAAGGGACACGTTTCAGAATTACAAAGTTTGACTCAACAGAAAATCACAACAGTCCCGTGGTCCCTGCCACTTCGCGCTCGACTGGCGGGACTTCACTCCATCGCCGTGGTGCAAGCGCCAAGTGGCAGGGCCAACTGTGTATAATAAAGAAGCCTACTTCGCAGAAATTCATGTATCGCGCTAGAGTCTGGAACTGATTAACTGTGGCAAATGAGGGCCGACTGTATCACGTTTGTGGCACCTGGTATTATGCTTCAGAAAATGAAACAAAAAAGGACGGATCTATTGGGGAAAATAAACCCATAATTACAACAGCAGGTTTTAGACACAAGTCTCTCAGTAACTGACAGGGCAAGCAGACAAAAATACGACCCACAGGGACGGGCGGTGTGGCCACGCTGCCTAACAAGCTCAGCTGTACCGACCCCTGCAGACGGCACAAAACACACCCAAGACAAAGGCTGACCTCCGTCGGATCTTAGACCCAAGTCCCCACAGACTTCGAAGTCTTGAAAAACCACAGTGAAATTGAGCCAGAATTTAAACAAAGGAGAATTAAACATCTTTACATGTTCAAGAATGTAGAAACACTATTCTGAATAACTCACCGTTCAAAAACGCCACGGTAGAGATTAGAAAACACTCTGAAATTAATTAAGCAAACACTCCATGAGACTTGTGGGATGACGCTGAAGCCAGACTTGGAGGGAAATGCACATATCAGAACAGAACAAAAGCGACAGTTCTGCTCCCCTGAGAAAAAGGACAGCAAACTGGGTCCAGAGAACGTGGAAGGAGGAGAAGGACGAGGAGCAGAGCCCGTGGGAAAATCCCACGAGAGAGGGAATGAAGCCAAAACTTGGGACTTGAAAAAAACTAATAAAATCAACAAACCTCTGATGACGCTGATCATGAAGACAGGAGACAGCCCGGCCGGAGTGTCTGAGCTGGTTGAACGTCATCTGGTGCATGGAAAGTTTCCTGGTTCGATTCCGAGTCAGGGAACGTACCTGGGGTGCGGGTTAGGTGCCTAGTCAGGGAGCGCACAGAAGGCAACTGACCGATGTTTCTCTCTCACATCAATGTTTCTGTCTCTCTCCCTTACACTCTCTCAGCATGTCTTCAGGTGAGGATCAAGATAAAAAAGAAAGAAAGAAAACACAAATAACCAATGCCAGGGATGAGAACGGGATCCCACAGACACGCAAAGATTTCAAGGCGACGTGAGGAGCAACTTTATGCCAATAAACTTGAACATTTAGATGAAATGGACCATTTTTGGAGAAATATGACTTACTAGAACTGATACAAGACGAAATTTAAAAGCGGCACACTAAGAGCACCCCGGATGTCTGTGGTTTTCCTAGTGAACCCTTCAGACACTAATGATGGACTAGAAAACGTCGTGTGTCCCTGTGGAGAGCACAGGACTAACCTCTGGGTGCTGGTCCTGGGAGGAGAAACCATCAAAAAGCTGAGGAATTAGGTACATTTTTTTTTTTTTTAATCCTCACCCGAGGACATTTTTGTATTTATCTTCAGATAGAGCAGGAGGTAGAGAGGGAGGAAGAGAGAGAGAGAAACATTGATGCGAGAGAGACACATTGACTGGCTGCCACCCACATGACCCCAACCTGGGCCGGGGACAAACTGCAACTGAGGTAGGTGCCCTTAGCGGGAACCGAACCCGGGACTCTCGGGTCCGCGGGCTGACATTCTACCGGC